GAAAGTTCTTTATGCTACTTTTGCAGTTTTTCTCTAAGCTTGAAATTATGACAAAATATAAAATGAAAGGAAATAATAAAAAGTATAAGGAAGAAATTGCCAAAGAAGAGAAGTCTTTGGCAAAAGAACAAGATAAGCAAAGGAATTGGACAAATACAAGAGCCTTATGCATTAAGAAAAACCAGTGGCACCCAGGGTAAAGCATGGTGTGGGGATTAAAGGAGCTAGGGTTATGGGGGATAACCAGCAACACAACCCACAAGCTAACACATTCCCCGGCAATCTAATATTGAAAATGAAAATTTTAAACTTTCTTTATACCCAGGCACATGTCCTGCAAAAAATAACTTTGAGTTCTTGCAGCTGTCCAGTCATTCCATTGGCAATTTCTCTTTGTCCAGAGATGGTAGAAAAATAAAACCCCTAGAATGATGACTAAAAGGGACTTTCAGCACAGTTCCTTCATTTTGCAGGAGAAAACACTCAAGAGGAGGAATTTGCAAGGTCCCAGCGGAAGTTATTGTTAAGACTGATTTCCAGTTCAAAATCCATCTTTCTTCCTTTCTGAAAAAATGAGGTAAAGTCTAAAAGGGTGAAGCAGAGATAGAATGCTAACAAGCAAATAGCCAGTTATTATCCTTTGAGGTTAGGATGTTTTCATTTTCCACAAATATGAACTTAATATCGTACAATTTAAAAATGTGATTATAGAAACTGTTGTCATTTAAAGTCCATGCAGAACAACCGATAAGTGCCATTCAATTCAGGGTCCTAGTCTGAAGCAGCAATCAAGGTGATTCTCAGGAATTCTCAATGACATTGGTACCCATCTGGATTTGTTGAAAAGTTTAACATCCTTTTTTATTATTCATGATTTTGCAGTTCTTCAAATTGCAAGGTGATGGAGAGAGCACACGATTTTCATCCAGGTTATGAAATCATTCTTGAAAATTTGGACATTCATATAGATGGCTTTTAATTTTTCTTAGAGACTGCTTTTCCTTATAAAATCATGAAATTTTAAAAGATTGCACTATAAATTAAACTACATAAATGATAATAAAGGATACTATAAAAGCAAAAGGAAAATAAGCTAATATTTGAAGGACTTTATTCTCATTTGCTATTATTCTGAGTTGGAACTGTACTCCTCAAGGTTTAGATCTAAGTGACTATATAATGTGCATTGATTACCAAAACTATTGAGATAGTAATTGATTTAAGAATCATCAGATTTCATACAGGAAATCTCAAAGCATGTCGTCAGTAATATATTGAAAAGCAGTGCCCTCCAAATAGCATGCCTTTATTTAAAAAGTCCTGGACCTATAGTCTCTAATACTCAAATACAGACAGATCATATTCAGAAATAGAAAGCTCCCTCATTCTATAAGGAAGCAACTTTCTTCAGCTGCCCATCCTGGACTCCAGAATCATGCCTGCAATCTTCAGTCCAAAGATGTGTTCGTATGGACATTAGCATGAGTTATTTTATTTGGGACCTGAGATTAACAAGAGAAAGAATTAATTGAAAATACTCACCCTATTGGATGAGCTATGTATTCTTTACTGTACATTTGAGCAAAATTATATACAATGAACTCTAGATTTTATGCTTTGTGTGTCAACAATTAATATCCATTATTTCTTCCTAGAGTCATGAAACTGTTATCAAGGTCAGATTTGAAAGGACCATCTCTGTTCTGATAGATTCCATACCTTCCTCTGCCTTCATTGTGAATCTGTTCTTCTCTATAATAAATACTAGTCTGACTTTTGTACAATATATTTCTTGTATCAGACATGTTATTTACAGAAGATCCTGTCTCCCTAATGACAACACTTGACACTTTACACTTTCTGTATAGGCTCCAGTGACTACATTTGCACAGCCCTAGCAATCCTGTACCATGGACAGATCCATTAAACTGCTGGAACTACTGCACATTTCTCCCTCTGTGTGCAATGCCTCACTGTTGAGAATGGCTTCTTTCTCCCTGTGCTGTACTGCTGCTCTGAGAACTTACTCTAAAACTTTCTTCTGTGCCTGTGCTCAGCAGTGCAGGAACAGTGTGAAGTTTCATCATTTCTTTTGGTTTCTTGGCACAGAGAGTAAGTCCATCTATCTGACTGAACATTACCCAAAGAAAACTTCAGGCTGCTTTAGAAGACACTAACTCTGATAATGCTCAAGTAACTCTATCAAAACTCTAGCACTTCCTTGGCCCTTGTTCAGTTTAATGGATCCCTACTTGAGATCCTGTCCTGCTCCACTCCAGTATTATACTGTGTGTTTATAACCTACTACAGAGAGACAACTCTGAAAGTAAATGTGAAATAAAATACTACCAGTTTCTAAGATAGAACGATTAGGGAGTTCATGGGAACACAGAATTACTATGTCACTGAGCAAATGAAGGAAATCACAAATGACTCAATCTTGAAAGAGGAGAAAGTGTTCTCTGTGATGCAACTAGAGAGGGAGGTGGGGCACCATGCCTGGCATGTTCTAGTACAGAAACCGAGAGGTAAGAAACTCAGTGTCCTGTGTTTGCAGTGACAGATCATCGGTCTGATGAGCATGGTGTGCAGGGACAGGATGGTATAGGGAGAAAGGAAAAGCACCATTACAGCATGGAAGCTATACAGGCTGGGAGGCTGTAGGGAAAGGCAGGAGTCAGAACAGAAAGACCATGTGTGCCAGGCAGAGGGATTGGATTTATCCTATAACAATCAAGACTAAACAGAGGTTTAAGAAAGGTAACGTGATCAATTATGTGCGGTATCCAATGTGTGGGGGTGGCAAGACCAGAGGAAAGAAGCCAGTTAGGAGTCTTTGTTAAAGCCATAGGATTATGGATGAATATTTACTTTTAGATTTCTGTTGATGTTATAAAAATTCAGACAAAAAGTGACTGTTATACCCACGATAGAAGATATACTAAGCTTGGGTATGTGTGTGTGTGTGTGTGTAGTTTTTACATCATTGTTCATTTTTATAGAATGTTTGATTTTTTCCCCCTCAGGGGTAGTCAAACATGGGTATTCTAACTATGGGAAATCAATGCAAACAAAAGTGGTACAACACATGGCAACTTAGATTTTGGATGCTACATAGTGCTTAAGTATATGTACACATACACATAAAATCTGTACAAGGTCATTCTTTTTATTATGATCTTTGCTTCCCTTTGCCTCTGCTCCTTCTTTTCTTCCTTCCTTTCCTTCCATTTCCCCTCTCCCCTCCCTCTTTTAAAGACATCTCTCCCTTAAGGTATTCCCATTCCCAGTGATATCTCATCAAAGGAGCATATGAATAGCTGACATTATGTAACGCTTTGACATTTGGCATTCCCAGGGCATTACCCCACCCCTGACGCAGAATAAGTTGTCAGAGCATGAAATTGGTATTTTTACATATTCTTAATGTACAGATGTCAGTCTGAAAACCATTCACTAGTATTATGATTACATTCTTTGTCTCATCTTCTTTCTATGCCAAGATCTGTTCTTGTGATTTCTTTTCTTTGGGGAGATTCAAAGAGAGAATACAAAACTTTAATAATCCAGTTTACTGATTCTGCCAAAAGGTATAAGTAAACTTTTAAGTCTCTGACCACTTTTGGCAACAATAATTCTGGCACAGGAGTAAGGATGTAACAAGAAGGACCAGATGCAAGCTGGAAATACAATCAGAGGCCCACTTGATGGTGCCAGGCTCTTCAGCATGTTCCAAATCAAAGCTGCTTGTAGTTTACAAATGTGTTACTCTGTGTTAATCACAGAAATGCATGGCCTAGACTTAGGGGAGGAACAGCAGGGCTAAAAATAATAACCATGTAGAAAACTCACTAGGTAAGAACTAGCAGAGATTTAGAGACAGCAGGGCCTGTCTACCTGTCGACATGGCAATGCCACTATCTGATCTCTGACAGATGGGCCTCTAGTGTATTTGAACCCCTCCAGTAATAGACATCTCACCTCTTGAAGTGGTCCATTTCATATTTGGACACCTGGAAAGTACTATCCAGTATCCTTTTCCCTTTTGGTAGCATCACCACCTTTTTGTGTGGATCTACTGCTTATTCTCTGTGAACCCAACAGAATGCTGTGATGGTGTGTTGTTCCTTGGCCCTTAGTCTTCATGTTCACTCCTTGCATTGCCCCAGATTCTCTCCCTGCATTGAAGGTGGGAGTGGCTGCCCATGGGCCCTCAGTCTCAGGCTTCATGTCAGGTGAGTTTAGTGGGTCTGAGCAAGGGGAGACATTTGCAGGAGATGGGGCAGGGTAGGAAAAAGAGAAGTCAAGGAATCCTCTCTTTCTCTAGGGGGGTGATAGTGCCAGATTATGTATGCAGCTACATTTTCTCCATGACTGGGTCCCAACTCTCACTGGACACAGCCACCATTGTCCCAGCTTCCACCAGGTGATACTTGCAATGCCACATTTTCTCCTCTCCCTTTAATGACAATTAGCAGGGGCCTGTGTCTATTCATGATATCTGAGTCATTTCACTGTTCTCAGGAAGGCTTTGGAAGCTCTTGCATCACTGGTGTGTAGCCAATGCATTCCCTTTGCTCAGAAATGTTTCTGTTTTGGGGTTGGATCCTAACTGATAGTGTTTTTTTTTTTTTTTTTTTTTTTTAGAGACAGAAGCTTTATTCTCTAATGTGCATACCGCAAGTTCCTTACACAATCAAGGAAATGGCTTCTCTCTCAGGCATCTCTTTTATCAAAAGAAAATCCGTCCTGTTTAGTCCCACCCTGGGCAGAAGCTGCCCTGAGCAGTGTTCTTAACCCAAAGGCAGGGGAGAGGGCTGGACACACGACCTAACCCCCACAATGCCTAGATGCCCTAGGCCTATCAGGAGCTGTGAGGGGGCACAGCACAGAGCAACGCCCCAAAGGCAATCACACCTCCCCACATCGTCACATGCCAGCCTGGGTGGGCCTTGACAAGCAGGTGGCCAGGGGGTGGCCAGGGCCTGCCAGTCAGGGTCTCAGTGCTCAGCGTCCATGGCATCCAAGTATTTGGCTTCAATGATTCGGGGGAGCAGGTTGTAGCGGATGGGAATCATGGCGATCATGATGAGGGGAAAGATCATCTTCATGTAGGGCAGGCTGCTTACGCCAAAGGCACAGAGCAGCAGCAGCTGCAGGATCTGCAGGCCTGTGAAGTAGTGGATCTTCCTCTGGGGTACGTGCCGGATGTAGTGGGTGGAAGGGTACGAAGTCTGCTCCTTGAGTAGCAGGGCCATGCGCTCAAAGAGCTGGTTGCCGTCGATGGAGGTAAAGGCCATGTAGAGGAAGAGGCCGTAGAGCACCGGCTTGGAGATCCACTGCAGCGGGAAGGGCAGCAGCAGGAGGGAGAAGCCCACCAGGATGCTAGCACCCAGGGTGGTCAGCCGTGTCTCCTTCATGCTCACTATCGTCTCATAAATGTGCCCATTCTCCACTCGCTCCTCCACCAGCGCCAGCAGCCGCACGTGCAGCGGGGAGTGGGGGTAGGCCGCGTGGATCCAGGGCAGCCCGAACAGAGACAGCCCCGTGTTGATGATGGCGATGAGCAGGAGGTCCCAGTGGTAGGCGGTGCCCTTCACCAGCCTGTTCTCTGGAGCATTAGTCAAGCCAGCCACCAGGTTCTGCTCGATGAAGAAGAGCAAGGAGAGCAGGAAGCCGAGGCCCATGGCCCCGCCGATGGCCTCCAGGGACAGCGAGTGCATCTGGGCCATCTCAAACAGGCTCTTGCTGGGGTTGTAGCAGAACTTGCTCATCTTAATTTCCCGGAAGCCGTAGGAGCAGATGAGGGAGAAGAGGAGCACCGAGATGGGCAGGGCGCAGTCTGACAGGATCTCAAGCATATAGGGGTGCAGGTAGGGGCTCTTCTTGAACTGGTAGAGCGTGTAACCCAGCCACAGTGTGCCCAGCATGATGAAGAGGCTGAGCACGGCGGTCTCTCGGCCTGCGTTCTCAGGATGGCTGCCCGCTGACGTCAGCTCCATCGGGCTGGCCAGGAGGCTGGTGTTGAGGCCCAGCAGGCTGACCAGGGAAGTGCTTTCTGCATGGTAGTTCCCAGTGTTAGGGCCATAGTAGTACTTCTGGAAGATTTTGACCATGCCCTTGACAGCATCCAGCACGAATGTGATGGAAATAAACAGGGCAATGATCTCCTCCGTCGACCTCTTGAAGAGACTCATGACCAAGCTGAGGTTGAAGAGGGCATAAAGCGTGAGAAAGAAACTGTTCCACAGGCCCGTCCACGCGTAGAAGGAGTTGAAGTCCAGGTGGTAGTCGTCACAGATGCCCCAGATCACTTGACTCTCCTTTTGTGGCCCTTAAGGTACTGAAGGCAGCACTTTTGTTTCCTTCACTCTCCTGTTCCTCTCAGGGCCTTTGAGCCTCATGGCCTTCAATCTTTCCTTGCATTCTGAGGTCCCTAGTACCAAGCAACCCTGGAACTCTCTGATGAATGTGTTCATATGGACATAGGATGTTGTGTCTTCATGATGTGGTTCTTCCACCACTTGGAACTCATGGCAGAAGATCCATGACTGTTCCTTGAAGATGACAGCTCTCGTGACCAAAAAATCCACTAAAACATGGGCATTTTTCCCAGATAAGGAAAACAGCTTCCTGTGCTGACCATTCACTGTGTGCAGGACACAATGCTAAACATTTAATTTTTCATTGTTTTCATGTTAATAAAGTGAGTGTCATTAGTCCTGTGTTTCAGACAAAGAAACTGAGAGTTGGAGAAGTTGAGCAACTTGCTCTAGATCACATAGCTAGTAAAGGGAGTGACTTAAACAAAGGGTAAATGCTGCTCTGCTCCGCAACTCTCTCCCCTTCCACTACTGCATGTGTTTTAGAAACCAAAGAGACAGCCTGTCTTTCCTTGTTAAAAGGCTCTGATGTGTCCTTCTGATTGTAGAGATGCAATAGGGTGATTGAGGCATTCAGGTAGACACGAATATCAGATTTATGCTAAAAGAGTGAGGGGACTCCCATTTTAAAAAGAATGAAGCAAAGATCAGTGGGCCACAAAGATTTTGGCTTCAATTTACAGAGCACAGCTAACTTAGGGCATTTTGAGGAACCCTCTCAATCAATAAGGAAAGTACAGAAGGGGAAAGGATTTACCCAAAGCCGTACAACAAATTAGGTGAACTGGGAATAAAAATAGATGGACTAGTTTGGGAGAGCCAGACCTGGAGCTAGATTGTCTTCTTCAAATTCCAGCTAAGTCCCTTACAAATTGTGTGACACATTGTAAATTTTTATAAACCTCTCTGCTTTGGCACCTGCCTCTGTTAACTAAGATACTAGCACTTATCACTTAGATAATAATTTTCACTTTGAGTTGCTGTGAAGAGCAAATGAATGAACAACAGAGGTGCTTAGAACAGAGCCTGAATGGATGTGGTATATGTGTTACTGGGGGATGATGATGGTGAAGGCAATGTTATTATTATAAAGGTATCTAACGTTAGCCCCTGGGTTTGTTACAGCTCCTAACATGTGAACCAAGGGCTTGAAATGTTCCTAATGCATCCATGCAGCACATTTTCATCCTCAGTTGGCCTTCTCATGTACCCTGAATCCAAAGGGTGTGTGAATAGAGGGGGACAGTGCACATACATCAAGAGAAACGCAATACCCTGTCTTCATTACAAAGATACCACAAATTGGCCCATGCCAGAAAGGAGAGAACACAGGCTTGGGAACCATTTGCAAGTTGAGCTGTGTCCCTAATACTGTAGGTGACCTTGGGCACGTCCCTTCTGTTCTCTGGACTTCAGTTTGACCCTCCGTAAAATGACTGGGGAGGATTATGATGATGTCTTAGGGGCTCTCTTCCAGCTCTATCATTCTGTGATTCTAAATCCCTTTATAACAAACTCTAGGAGAGGAGCTTTGCTCTTGCAAATGGAGTGTAAAGTTAATCCTGCCTGTGCTGAGGCTAACTAATGTGCGTGTGTGGTTTATCCTACTTCATTAAACCCTGACTCCCCACAGAGCTACACGTAAGGCAGCCCAGGCAGGTAATACTGAAATGTTGCTGAACTGGGTCTCCTAATGGAAAATTATTTTCTCCCACTCTTTCTCAGGTTTATCAACACAAAGCCCATAACTCCCATTTTCCACACTGTTACTTTGCCACATGTGTGGATTCAGGACCCAATCATAGATATGGCAAGTGGGTTTTGATACCTTATTTATCTGTGAGCCCCCTGCCACTCCCCCATGCCGCAGGCAATACAGCCATTTTATTTATGAAGAAACTGAAGCCCAGCAGGTCAGACAACTTGCTAGGATCAGCACAGGGTGTGGTGAGGGATATTGCAGGTGAGAGGGTAATGTCAGAATGCTGGCGTAGCAGTGGGATAAAAGGGAAGCAACTGGGAAACTCTGAGGCAGTGTTCCCAAGTGAGAAACTTCCCCCTTGATCCTTACCTTTTGTAAAGATGCATGCAGAGATACCCAGTCACTTTTCTGTAGTCAATACAGAACAAAATTGGATTGTCTTGGACTTGTTGTTTTCTTTTCTTTTATTGTGAAATATAGTACAGATGTTGCAAATGAATAAAGCAGATGTGTATAGTTTAAAAGTGAAGACTGGTTACCTACCCCACCCCCCCCCCCCCCACAAGCCTCCATTCCATTGAGAAAACATGGTACGATGTTTGGTGAAAAAAAATCAGGATATAAGAAGGCGCCCAGTATCATCCCATTTGTGTGAAGTCAGACACTGCTGAGCTCTGTGTTTGGACAAAGGGGCTTTGCTACTTGCTATCTCCGAGCACTGTACAAACCTGATGCACTCTCTGTTCCTCTACCTTACTGAGGACAGAGCCTATGAGGGCCAACAGACGCACAGGCACTGAATGTTACACCTGAGGCCATCTCGGGAGCATCTCATTCACTCATTTATTCATTCTATTCATTCTTCAGATGCTAGGGGCCTCTGGACTGCGCATGGTAAGAGGTAGAGCACAAAGATATCTCATATGGATCCTGAACCAGAGGAGAAAGAAAGGCTGGAATGAATGGAGCTTGAAAGGAAGGGGAGACCATCAGGGCCTTGGACATGTCAGGACTCATCCACGTCGTTCTCCGAAAGAGAGTAAGATGGAAAATGACCCCCTGTGAGGAGTAGTCATCTCCAGATGGATTACCCAACCTTCATATCTGTTCTCAAAAGTCAACTACAAGGTCATTTTATGTGCAATCAGATGAATCCCAAAAGGGTTAGGAATTAAGTTCCAGGATGTCAAAGAGGAAGGACCCTCCACATTGCTGGGTCTGATGACCTTGTTTTGTGACTGAAGAGGTCCAGAGTTCTTACTTTTCCAATTTGAGGATAGCTTGAGCGGAATCCAGGACGTCAATGCCCCTCCCCAGCCTGTTCTCTTCCACTACCCAAATATGAACACGAGTATTTTCCAAGGTGAGTTTTTAGAATCATGAGTATTTATGATCATGAAATCATGAAGAAAGAAAACATAAAAGGTGGCCTTCCCTAGTGGCGCAGCGGGTTAAAGCACAGCACTGAGAAGCTTGAGCCATTTCCTCATGAGTTTGATCCCCGCCTGCCCCGGAGGAGATCCACATGGCATGGCAGACCTCTCCTTACCCGTCTGCTGCTCCCCTCAGCGGTGTACTTCGTCGATCTGCCTGTTCTGCTCCCCACTCTGTCCCTGGTGAATCCTCTCATCCTCCACATCTCTGGCCTGTACCCCAGTTCTGTATGCATAAATAAATAAATCTTTAAAAAAAAAAAGAAAACATAAAAGGTGATGAAATCATGAAGAAAGAGAACATAAAAGAAAATAAAAGGGGAAAAAGATCTTAGTGGTAATCATTCTAGTTGAGTGGGTACCTAACTAGGCTGATCATCTAATCATCTGAGGAGCTTGTCTGAAAAAAATAGAGATTCTAGGACCCCAGCTCCAGAGAAAGGACTTTAGTAGGACTAGGATTCAGTAGATTGGACATTGCATTTTTAAAAAGACTTCCAGTTGTTTCTGGCGGCAATAGGCCTACACAATTCACCACTTGAAAAAAAGGGAAACTGAGGCAGACAGATTGTGCAAGGTCACCTCTCATTTTGCCACAAACTCCTCAATTGTCCAGGAGAAAACTAGACAGGCTGCATAGATAAGAACCTTGATATATTAATAGTGTTTTCCCCCAATATTGTTTTTGTGGTTGACACGTTTATTTTTTGAAGCAGCTTAAAAGATTCCTAGCCACGCTGGAAGGCACGCAGATCTGTACAGTGTTTACAATGACTTTGTTGTTCATTAAACAAATTTACCCAGACTAACCCAACATGAAAGAAATCATCTTGTTTACAGTGAGATCCTCACAAAAATACGTGTAGCAAAGACAGACAAACACACATAAACCTGGATTGCCGAGTGGGACATGATTTGCGGCTGCATCCAATTTTTCTCATTAGAACTTGTTTTATTTGAACATGACTCAGTACCCCGTGTAAATGCGAAGTTGTTAATCTTATTACTATATGGAAAACAAATTAATTAGTATGCATGCTCTTGGAGATGAGTTGTAAGGTTGGTATTGGAAAGATTAGGAAAACACACTCATTACTCCAAATGATATCTGATATACACGTCTGACTTCCACTTTAAGATCGGTTCCAATATATGGGCAACAAATACAGCTAATAAAAATCAAACTCTTGTGCTCAGCCTCTTAATGTTGGAGTTGGCCAGATTCATACATTTTGGCCTTCTTTGTTTTAAAACAAAGGTCACTGTGATGTGGAACTGCTTATCACTGTCCCTCACCCCAGGCTCTGGAGGCATTTTCTCAGGTTCCAGCTCCCACCCTTGACCCAGCCTAGTGGACAGTGAGCTTCTCTTTCTATTACAAGACCACCGCATTGATGCGCTCCTCGCTGTGCATGTTCTACCTCCTTTTAGTGGTTATAATGAGCACATCTCATTTTTCCAGAGGGATAGTGAGTAGTCTCCTTGAGGCCAGAGGCTGTGTTTCCTTTTTTTTTTTTAAAGATGTATTTATTTATGCATGCAAGAACTGGGGTATAGAGTAGAAGTGTAGGACAGGAAAAAGATTCACCAGAGACAGAGTGGGGAACAGGACAGGCAGGTCAACTGAAATACACTGCTGAGGGGAGCAGCTGGTGAGACAGGCGAGGTCTGCTGGGCCATGTAGGTCTCCTGGCGGACTGGGGATCAAACTTGTACTGCAGTAGCCAGCAATAGGTTGATAGCACTGTCTTTCACCCCTGCACCACCAGGGAGACCCCAGAGGCTGTATTTCCAAT